ACTGGCCTGATCTTGGAAAACCACAAAAAAAACCCTGGAAGGCTTTTGAAATAAAGGCCAGCTTCATTCCCAGGCACAAACAAGCAGCCATTATGGAGTCGCCTTTTGTTACTGAGGACCAGAGCACTACAGCCTCTTGGGAGGCAACAGAGCAGGACTTTCCTCTGGAGTTTATTTAAAACCAAGCACAAAATATTTAACGCAACAATAGCATCTTGTACCATGAATGCTAGTGGTGTTTCTCCATAGAAATACTACGCTGAAGGCTGCGAAAGCTAAAGGAGATGCCCAGCCACATGCTTTGAATGGTGTTTGTTTTCCCACACCCATCCTTCCCCTCAAGGGATGGGGCTGGTGCAGGGGGATCTCTGCCTCCAGACTGGATGCCAGGCAGCTGGGGTGCCATTTCACAGCAATCACGGCCCAGACTGGAATGACCAAGCCCTTTTCCCAGAAAGCAGCCTGACACATCTTAGCTTTCATCCCTGGCAGACAGGGAGGGTAACGGCTAGTGTGGTTTTGGGTTTGGTGTCTGAGCAAGACACCTGTCATCCCCATACTGAATGGCACATTATCCTCCTTAAAGACAGAGGAGACTCCTCCAAGCACAGGCCTCTTCACTAAGTAAGCTTCAGAGACTGGTTAACTCCTGCTAGCCCATCCTGGGTGAGGAACTCTTCACTAAAGTGGTATTTGCTCCTTCAGGGCTCCACCCGAACTGGCACAATTATGCATGAGCAAGGCTCCATCTGCCTTTCACATGCCACTTCCCAGCTCGTTTGTATCACAGCTTTCTCAGGGTTTTTAAAACAAGAAGTACTGTTTACCATAAACAAAAAGTAAAATGAGAGAGGTATAAAATGCAAACTGCAGTGCATACAGCCACATGCACAGCACATACCCTCACACAGCAGCAGTACATAACCCTGAGAACAGCCAGACCTGCAGCAGCAGGTACAGTGAGTAAATCACTGGTGTGATTTACAGGTGTTCATGGTACCAACATGACTCCACATCCTTAAGCAATGCTACAGTGTGATTTCTAATCCTACCACACAGTTCTCTGATAAGGCAGCAGCAAGCAAGATTGCTTAAAGCTGCCACACATAATCAGCCACTCATTAGAGCAAGCTGTGATACTCAGGACCTGTATCTCGGAGCTGGGGAAGTCAGAGGAGGATTCTCAGAGATGAGCAGCATCAATACTGCCTGGAATCCTCTACCTCGTTTTGAGATGGA